CCCTGCAATTGCTCAGCCTTGGAGCTTTGAGATGAATGGGGAAAATCCTGGGCAGAAGAGTCAAGAAGATGAAGCCAACAGTTCAGAGGTCGAATGCTATGACTTCAGAAAAGTGCAGTTCCAGGAGGGGAGGGGACCCCGAGATGTTTGCAGTCAGCTTCACCACCTTTGTCATCAGTGGCTGCAGCCAGAAAGACACACAAAGGCCCAGATGCTGGACCTGGTGCTCCTGGAGCAATTCCTGGCTGTCCTTCCCCCAGAGATGGTGAAATGGGTGCGGGAGTGTGGAGCAGAAACCAGTTCCCAGGCGGTGGCCTTGGCCGAAGGCTTCTTGCTGACCCAGGAGTCTGAGAAGATGCAAGGAGAGTTGCAGGTGTGAGAATGTAATTATGGCAGTTTTAAAGAGAATCTCTCTGAATTTGCCAATGTCTCTCTGGCAGAATTGTCTGGGATTATGAACTCCTAAGGCCTGTTGTTCTATTCTTCTTCCAGAGGATGCATTTGGGGCAATTCTTCCATTCTCACTTTTCAGCTTAATCGATGGACATTGGGGTCTGCTAGGTTGCGTGTTCAATACTGATAATTCATTTCTGTCTCTGTGCTCTTCCCTTCTTTCTCGCGGCACGTCTTGTCCAGAGGTCCTTGCGAGCTACCGCTGAGTTTCCCCAGAGGTGGAAAGATTCGTCCAAATCCTCCCAGGAGCCGTTATTCAGGGAGAGCTTCCAGAAAGGTCAAAGTCAGGACACCACACTAGGTAACAGAAGCTCTTTTCATGTGATGTGAGGTTTGGGCATCCAGCTGATTGTTTTGTTCATCTTGAGTGAAATCTCTCTGCTTCCACTGTTCTCTATCTCACAGGTAATAGAAAGCCGCCCTTCATATTTTCAGAACCATCTTCTCTTTGTGGTAGAGCTGAAAGAGTGGCTGAACCTCTGCCTCAGGTAGGAGGAGAAATATTGGAAAGGTCCACGAATCTTGGATGGGTTTCATTTTATTCTGTATAATATTCAATGTTTCTAATGTATAATGTTGCTCTTTCCAAGCGAGACAAATTTTAGGTCATATCATTGAAAATTCACACTCGGCTTAACTTCTGATCAATTTCCTCTGTCCTCCTGCTTCAGGCTCAGATTTCATTGACCAGATGTAGTCTTGACCACAGATCCTCTTTTCTCTCTCCCAGGGTCATTCTCACATACCATTACGAGCTCTCCCAACACTTCCATGAAGGTGTGGAGTGGAGTTCCCTCAGTTGATAAAGCAGTCCATAGGCCAGTGATGGCGAACCTTTTAGAGACCGAGTGCCCCAAAACTGCCCCCCACGCCTGTCCCGGCTCCGCCCTGCCCACTGGGCCACCCACCACCTCCACGGCCCGCCACAGATCACCCAGGTAGCCCAGCAGCGCCATGGTGGCCACGCCCTCCACCCATGCCCCGCAGCATCATCTGCGCGCGACAGGGCACAAGGGCAGAGTCTTGTCCCCGCTGCCCGGCTACCATGTCCTTGGCTGCGCTGCTTTGCGTGGGCTGCGCCCAGGGGTGACTCTCCTCCGGGGGGGCTGCTGGTGAGGAGGGGGCTGTGGGAGGAGGTGGGGCTGGGGAGACGGTGCGTGTGCCCACAGAGAGGGCTCCGAGTGCTGCCTCTGGCACCCGTGCCATAGGTTCGCCACCACTGCCATAGGCAAAAAATCAGATGGATTTCCCCTGTATTTCCTTCTGCCCACTCTAGGAAGAATTGGAGCCAGTGATAAGTATTGGGTTTAATACCCAACTACTAATTGACCAAAAAAACCCCTGTTTTAGTTGGCTACACTGAAAGGCATTCCAAATACTTCTAACTTGATCCAATGTGCTTCAGTTGTGCCGTCAGCCAAAAGCTGTGAGATCTCATTCTGAATTCTGCAGAAGATGCCCGTTTTGTTCATGGGATCTCCCTGCTTAATTGGTGGAAGAAAACTGTCACATTATTCTTGGGATTATCTGTTAATTGGGAAACTTGTTTCCTTGTTCAGGATGTCGTGTCTTTGGAGGAAGTGGCTGTGTACTTCTCTGAAGAGGAGTGGTCTCAGCTGGATCCTGACCAAAAAGCACTCCACAGGGAAGTCATGCTGGAGAATTCCAGGAATTTGGCTTTTCTGGGTAAGAACCCCCATCTGTGCTGAGAAATGTAGAGAAGGAATGGGTGGGGGGCTTAGATGTTATTTCTGATAAGAAAATATCACTTTTTATTTATATCCTGCCTTTGTTATTTTTTTGCTCAAGGCAGTAGACACACCCAGTACTCCTCCTCCCTATTTTTCCCCTAACAACAATGCTGTGGCATGGGTTGGGCTGAGAGAGACTGGCCCAAAGTCACCCAGCCAGCATTCGCGCTTAAGGCAGAACTAGAACTCGGAGTGAAGGAATCAGTGATTAGTCATTGCAGGGTGCAAATATGGCTGACTGCCTTCGCAGTGTTTATTGCCTTTTATACAGGTATTCCAAATAGCATAAAGTAACATGGCATCAGCATAGCAACAGCATTTCTATTGGTGAAACCCCTTGCCAATCCTTAAGAAGATACCAGCTAGGAGGCCCCGGCCAGGGAGCAGTTTTCTGCCACATCCTGTTGATGTAACCTAGCTGATATCATGTGAACCAGGTGATATCATGTACCAGCCTGGGGTAGTTTCCCACATTGCCATGGCAATGTGAATGGATGAGATCATGTAGAGAGAAGAGGCATGCAGGCTTTGGAAGGGCAGTTTGCTGCTCACGACCTCTACCTGACCCCCATCTCTACATCGGAGTCTCCCAGTTTGTAGTCTGGTGCCTTAACCACTGGACCAAACTGACTGAGATGTGCCCACTTGTGTTCTGAGTTTGGCATCATTCCAAGTTGAGGGTCGGGAGCTATTGCCATCCAGAAATATTATTGACTTTCAAAGATTCTGTCTGACAGACAAGTGGAGATGAGGTTTTTCATTGAACCGGTGGGTATGTTGTTGTCCCAGCATTATACAGTGTCCAATAGCACTGTGGGAGTTTGTGGCCCCCATGGAATTGTCCCAGGTCATCAACAGGCTGACACACACGGTTGGTCAAAGTTTAGGAAAAAGGTTTTGCTTAGTTTCGTTATTTATTTATTTATTTATTTATTTATTTATTTATTTATTTATTTATTTATTTATTTATTATTTAGATTTATATCCCGCCCTTCTCCTCGTAGGACTCAGGGCGGCTGACAATCAATTAAAATACATAAATAACAATACAAATTTAAAATTAATTAAAAGAGATATTTAAATATTGTCAAATTTAAAATATAATTAAAACCCCTCTAAAAATTACCCTAGGCCAGTCCTGCAAGCTGGAATAACCAAGTCTTGAGGGCGCGGCG